ATTCGAAATGAAGGTCCCCTTAACAATGTTATCTCAGGAGATTCATCGAAACCAAGTTTCTCTTCGTATCAACATATATACATAGTCATTTAGTCATATTCATATATTTATAGTCATATAGTCATAGCCATATAGTCATAGGCATATAGTCATAGTCATATAGTCAAGCCATATATTCATATTCATATAGTCATAGTCATATAGTCATTGTCATATAGTCATAGTCATATAGACATAGCCATATGGTCATATAGTGATAGTCATTTAGTCATAGTCAGATAATCATATTCATTTAGTCATAATCAGATAGTCATAGTCAGATAATCATAGTCATGCAGTCATATACATATGTTCATAATCTTATAGTCATATTCATATAGTCATAGTCATTTAGTCATATGGTCATAGTCATTTATTCATAGCTATATATTCATAGACATATATTCATAGTCATATAGTCATAGTCATAGTCATTTAGTCATAGTCATTTAGTCATAGCCATATAGTCATAGACATATATTTATAGTAATATAGTGATTATCATTTTGTCATAGTCAGATAGTCATGGTCAGATAATCATAGTCGTATAGTCTTATACATATATTCAAAAACTTATAGTCATATTTATATAGTCATAGTCAATTAGTCATCTATTCATAGCTATATATTAATAGACATATATTCATAGTCATATAGTCATATTCATATAGTCATAGTCATTTAGTCATAGGCATATAGTCATAGATATATTTTCATAGTCATATAGTCGTTGTCATTTAGTTATAATCAGAATGTAATATTTATTTAGTCATAATCAGATAGTAATAGTCAGATAATCATAGTCATATAGTCATATACATATATTCATAATCTTATAGTCATAGTCATATAGTCATATGTTCATAGTCATTTATTCATAGCTATATATTCATAAACATATATTCATAGTCATATATTCATAGTCATATAGTCATATTCATATAGTAATAATCATTTAGTCATAGTCATATAGCCATTGTCATGCCTCTTTGATATCACATGGTCTCTGTTTATCCTTTATGCCCCTCTAATCTAATTTGCCTCCCATTGCGCTAATGTCTAATCGCCTCTCACTCCCTCCCATTCTCGCCCGACTGTCGCTTTTGCGTCCACTCATCTCCACCTCCATCCCTCTGCCCACTCCACTTAACCCCTCATCTCACTCTACATTGTCTCTACGGCTCGTCGCAACGGTACCTTCCAGGTTGCGAATGTCACCTACATTCCACTGAGTGCTATTTCTCCCCGGCCAGTTACATCTCCTCCAACCGGGTCAGCGGAGGTCACTGCGAGAACTGCCAACACAACACGAAGGGACAATGGTGTCAGGAGTGCGCCGAAGGATACTACCGCGACTGGGCCAAGCCAATTAGTCACCAGGCCGCCTGTCTGTGTAAGTAAGACCCCCGGCCTGGCTACATGGTTGTGCTCGTCTGTCCGATTTGGGCAATCCTTCTGCTTGCATTTATCCCCTCTTGGGTGCCGCCTGCATTCACTTATACCGGCGTGTCACTATGCCTGCACACTATCGTAGAGTTGTCCTACTGTATGCTACTATGCGTCTGCGTGTGCGGGTGTCTGTATGTTTGTATAGACATAATTGAGATATGCACCCGGATGCATGCGTGCAATTGTGCATACATAGGTGTCGGTTTATGTGCCATATCGTATTCTGTGCTCATGGGATAGTGGATGGGGAAAGGAGATCCCCAACTAGCCTGTTTAGCCATAAACCATGTGTTTGACTGTGTTTTTCCAACTTGTATACTTTCTTGGGGAGACCCATCAAAATCCGGTTATTCTTCGTATTATATAGCTTTATTAAAACTCCCTTATGACATTTGCTCCATAGTTTTAAG